CCTCACGTCCTCGGATCCTAAAAAATCCATTGAGTTAGAAAACAATGAGCAATCAATTAACGTATTATCAGTAAACCCTTTGAACAAAGTATGTTGTTTTCACATTGGCACTATACGCCATGGTATGAGTGTATTCCCTTTGTTTTTGTAAACCTAGACATGTAAACACTCACTTTTGACATATCCACTGTGAAAGATAACAATGATTAATCAATCGATGTATTTTCTGTTAATCCTTTGATGACAAAAAAGTAAATCACCTGACCATTCATCTCTTGCTGGGCTGCCACGTGCATATTACATAACACACATTTCACCTCACTTCAAACCTGGATTTAGATTGAATAATTACCCCAGACACAATAAATGCCTAATGGGAACCTTTGTCAGGTATTCTGAGTGGTGCTACCACTAATTATACCTGTAATAAATTCATTAACTGAGCATCAAGTGAATGACGACAAATACACAAGTGTAGGGTTATACCAGAAAACGTGGATGACAACAAGGGATCGCAGTAGTAATGGTATTATCGACTTTTTATTATTATTAAACTATAACCATCTGGGGTATTTCCAAATGACGACATCCGATGAGCTCCGCCGTTCTTTTTGTCTGTTTGTTTAGGCTGAAGAAATTAAATAACATGCGCCCCTTGTCGAAATCTTTATAGATCACGGTTAACCAATCAGTGTTCCAAAATGAGTAAAATAAATATTGCCTCCATGTTTATTTAGCTGTCCTTGAGGACGGTAGCCCAGTCTCTGGTCACGCTCAGTTGCGTTGCGTACCATCCGGGTACTATCGGGGAAAAACAATAACAAAGGCAGTCCCGAGGAGGTGAGGTGAAATTGGGTTTAACGTCGCGTCCCATTCGTGATCAACTCGTGTTATTCCGGGACAAGCCGAATAGCGACTCGTGTCCCTCTCATGGCCATTTTTGCAACCGGGTTCCGTCTTAGCGCAAACGGGCATACCTAAAACAATTGTCAATTCGTTGCGCAATGGTTCACATATATTTCCCCATATATTATTTATATTTCAGATGCAATTTAAAGCACATCAGGACATGCGAAATTATACAGTATGATTGAACACATTTAACTGTGTCTTGAGTATATTTTTAGATGCAAGACATATGTAAAAACAGAAATTATTTCTGAGGGATTCTTTGACGAAGAACTTGAAATCATACGCGTATTCTGATTGGTTTGTCGTATTTTCGCACATAACATTCATCGATAGGGGGACGAGTCTTCTTGCAGGTTACGGAAAGGGGCGAGTGGTGACGAATGGTCGCGTCCAATAGCAATAGCACTTAAATAGCGACGTGTGTGTGTGTGTGTGTGTGTGTGTGTGTGTGTGTGTGTTTGTGTGTGTGTGTGTGTGGTTTCTTGGACTAGTCCGGACGGATGCCGATTTATAGTGCTAGCTCACTGAGATACCATGCCGCAGTTTAACATGAATACCCCACTCAGACACAGTATACTGACTCAGAGCCGATCAGTCCTTGTTTTAGCCCCTTAATGCCGAGCGCCAGACAGGGTAACAACAAGTACCATCTTTTAAAGTCTTTTGGTATGACGCGATCGGGGATCGAACCCCGGACCTTCCGCTCTCCGGGGTGACGCTCTACCACTAGACCACGGAGGCGGTCCTCAGTCCCGAGGAATTGCTTTAGATCTGTGCCCCTTTAAATCACAAAACCCTCGTCATACTGCCATAACGAGTTTATCTTGACGACATGTTTCCATCTGCCATTGTAAAAGAATTAAAAAAAATTGGAAATTGATGGAAAACAGCCGTTCGATTAAGCTGTGGTTAACATTTAGTACATGTAAGTCACGTGACGCTCATTTCCTAGGAAAAAGTGTGAGGCCTTTTTGGCGTCGATACAGGGTATAAAGGATTTATTCTCTCTCTCAGAAGTCCACGTACAGCCCGTGTTCTCCGTAGCGGGGTATAAGGAATTTATCTCCCTCCCAGGCGAGATACATAGTATTTTGTCTAGATCAAGTGAACAAATCAGATACCCTCACTCTGATAAGGAGGTATGGTATTCTATGATATTTCATCAAAATCACGTGATGCAGTGAGATCTTAACAGTCGGACATGGAGGTAAGATAATGAATTTTATTTAACCTTACGCATTACTTTTCTTCAGAGACTATATGTTAGTCTATAAAATAACATAAGGCGTCTGTTTCACAAATTGCGACATAAAACGTCTTGATACAGGGGTGTGTTAGCGACCAACAAATGCAGGTCAGTAAAAGTAGGACAGCACGTGCTTGACCCCAATTCTGATTTAAGCTCTTACTCGCACTGCAGTGTGTCCACGAAGCATGTTTTCCCCGTGCACGTGCGTAGGTCTGGGCGTGAAGTAGTATTTGCACCTGCATCACGTGCTGTAAATATTACACATGTATGGATTTGCCGTTTAGCAACTGACACCAATGCATGCATACTGAAAAAAAATCACTTTAAATCCCGGACACCGTCATGCACATGAAGCGTGGGCACATGTTTTTCGGGAAGGTTGACTGAACTCTGTCTACATAAACAGAGGCACTCAGCTGGTGTCGCGTACCAACAGTGGAACCAGTTTATCGAAATGAACCACACAACTGTTGTATGAATGCAAATGTGCGTTTTGTTTTGTTTGTTTGTTTATTTGTTATTTAACGGCACACTCAGCAATATTCCAGCTATATGGCGGCGGTCTGTACATAATCAAGTCTGGACCAGACAATCCAGTGATTGATATGAGTTTCGATCCACGCAATTGAGATACGATGACATGCATCAACCAAGCCAGCGAGCCTGACCACCCGATTCCGTTAGTCGCCTCTTACGTCAATGGTAGTACTAGTATTTTTGTAAAAACATATTGCAAAATTACATGGTTACAATATTGTGACCCGCTGGTATACCAGATCACCTACAGAATTCTAGGACCGCCTCTGTAGTCTACTGGATAGAACGTCTACCCACAGCGCATAAGGTCCGGGGTTCGATCCCCGACTGATACCAAAAGACGTTAAAATGTGGTACTTGTTGTTACCCTGCCTGGCACTCTGTATTAAGGGGCTGAAACAAGGTCTCGAGACACTTCTGGCTCCGCATACGTACGTCTTCTTTCTACCCGTGAAGATCCGGGGTATCCGGTTGGGTAGCCTAGTGGTTAAAGCGTTTGCTTGTCACGCCGAAGACCCATGTTCGATTCCACACATGGGTACAATGTGTGAAGCTCATTTCTGGTGTCCCCCGCCGTGATATTGCTTGAATATTGCTAAAAGCGGAGTAAAATCATATTCACTCACTTTCTCTTATATAAAAGAATTATGAATGAGTGACCGAGGTTCATTGAATTAATTCCAACATGTTTGGATAGTTTGATATACACACAGGTCGATAACGACGCCTAAGCGTTAAATATTATCAGTGTAATATCTGTCTTTCTTTCTCTTTGTGTCTCTCTTTCTGTCTGACACTCTCTCTCTCTCTCTCTCTCCCTCTCTCTCTCTCTCTCTCTCTGTGTGTGCAGTGAGTGAGTGAGTATGGTTAATATTCCAGGAATATCACGGCGGGGGATACCAGAAATGGGCTTCACACATTGTACTCATGTCGAGAATCGAACCCGGGTCTTCGGCGTGACGAGCGAACGCTTTAACCACTAGGCTACCCGACCGCCCCCTCTCTGTGCAGACGGAAACAACAACACGGACGAGAGACATGACAACCAGACATCATAGTTACTTTTCCCCCTTCTATTCATTACGTACACACCAATGAAGTATGGACATAATATATTTATGAACAAAACAACACAACGCCGAGTACTTATTAATAATAGTTATTAATAAGTATTCAGCGATGTGTTATGTTTTAAATTCTAAAGTAAATTGCAAGTACTCTTATATATTTATAACTTTGTTATAACGGCAGCTTGAGGTATAGGACATTCTATTTGAAACTTTTACTACATTTGGCATGCCAAACATGGATTACAAATAGGGCTGGGACGGGTAACTCGGGTACTCGGGTCGGGTGGGTCCTGAGTAGGACCCGGGTACCCACAAGACTACCCGGACCCGTGGTTAGTCACATGATATATTGTTTAATGACAAAAACTCACTATAGCTCAGTGGTTATACTACAAGTCGCTAATGTTCGCAATTCCTTCTGACGATGCACACATTCCTATTGACTTGTATATGTTTGAATGAAGATAAAGCTTCAATCAACTTCAGTAAACGCATGATCTGATTTTTTTATACATGTTTCCAAACAGTTTTAGCCAGGGCTGCGGTAAAACAATTACCAATCAGACATTGTGTTCCCAACTCTTGAGACTTGCAGTGGGTACCCGGGTAGGGTCGGGTAATAGGGGGTTGGGTACCCGGGTAGTAAATTTGGACTCGTCCCAGCCCTAATTACAAACATTTCGTAGCAGACAGACAGACAGACAGACAGACAAAAGGAACATAGAGACAACATGGACATTGAAGACAAAGACAGACACCACAGACTAGGGGGGCAGACAGCCACGAAGACGAACAGACAGACACTTTATCGTATGTATACGTGATAACATGAATCTTTCTAAATTTGATTTTATAGAATGCACACAGACAAGCCAGAACCAAATACCGTGAATAATGCAGGTTAAACAACCTCCCCAAAATGTGTCGTTATCTTTTCCATGTAAATAATAACTTCACTGTAATACGTGGATATTCAATTCGACAACACAACGCAAAAACCGGAAATATGTTCGAATCAAACTCAGATGTTATCAACATTATGAGTCGTCAGTTCCGTGTCATTACTCAATACAACCAAAGCATGAACAGGTTTCGTTTCCTCTATTGTCGTGAACAACAGAAGACACCGCCAGTGAAAATATAGTGACCCCTAAAACATGTTTTCGTAAGACGCGTTGCAGCAGAAGACCGTTAGGTGACATTAACAGTTAACACTAGTTGCACGGAAAGCAGTTTGTCCCGGCTACAAGGGCCGACACTGGAGCCCACTTTGTCTCTTTACCGTTTAGAAAGTGTCCGATCTTGTTGAAATTGAAAATCAACAATTACAGCCGATGTAACGCCACACAATCATAGACAGTGGTAAGTCTACATTGATTTCTATTTTATCTCCACTTACAAGTCCACGAAAACTCTTGTTTTCATTGAAGATTGGGGCGCCGCATGTTTCGGCCGGACGAGCTGGCTGACAGAAAAAGAGGCGAAACATTGAGGCTTGCATATGTAATTAGCTCTCTGTTTTGATCAAAATACGCAAATCTAGACGTTAACAATGACCAATCGCACCACTAAAGTGATTTATTTGATAAAATGAACCGTGTTTCAGTTACCTGTGCCGGGTGTCTCGGTCTATAAACGTATTTTTGAGTTTGACACGACAAGCGTCTGAGAGCGTTGCTTGGAGGGGTCACACAGAGCTACTCGCCGTCAACATACTCCAAACACATAGATTCACATCTACAAGCTGCGATCGCAATGAAATTAACCTCTAGGATTGTTAAGCTTTCAAAATACCCCAACTTGTCAGTCAATCGTTGCTGATCGCGTAACCAACGCGAGTCATCAGCTGATGGAATATGTGAAAACGACATGCATCCCCGATTTCAGTTTGACCCGATGTGAAAGGCACGAAACGGAACTAGAGTGTTGCCGCGACTGAACCCTTTTTCTTGTATCATAACGTCTGTCTTCGTGTTTATTTGATAGTATGACTGAATATTGTCGTATTTTGGTTTGAAATCGCAGGCGACATGGACAAATGAAATCGACAAGTGTTGTGATTGTACCTACAGCAGGTGCTCGCTCGGCTGTCAATCAACAACGTAATCAGTTTCAAATCGCCTCTGGTTCGTAGTGTTTACATTTCCGCGATGCCCATCTAGAAATTCTATTAAACCCTCTTTAAAAGTGTATCATGGAACTGTTATGTTTGCCTGATATTGATTGTATGTTTGTAAACAGTGGAGATGAGGTTTCGGTTGAATCGCTTGTGACATTGACAATACCACGTGACCCTTCTAACAATGTATTACACTGTGGCGGAAGAGGAAGGTACTTGCTTTTAATGCACAGGCTTGTGTTGACTTTTGGGAAAAAATAACATTTCTTTCGTTTTAGGGACGAATTAGAACGGAATTATTGTCTCCTAAGGTCGGAAAGCACAACAAAGGGAGTTAACGTGGTCTAGTAAGGGTATATGGACCAATATGTACTTAAGTTTAATTCCACTTGGGGTTGGGGTTTTGGCTCAATAAAAATGGTTTCTTACAAGCTAAGTTGTGTTATTTTATAAAGTATATATCTGCGATATTTAATAAACAGCCTTCAGTAAATTACAGCAAATAATATTTTAAATGAAAATATAGTATCCCAAAGTGCTATCTTTTAAAATCTCATGAGTGACCTATTTTTCATTGGTGTGTAAATTGTTAATTGTTGCATTGTTGCTGCATTTCATAGAGGTTACTGGCAGTGGGGTGGGGGGGTGGGTTGGGGTGGGGAGAGATGTTTTCACGGGTGGCATGATACATGAGTGAAAATATCTCCTTTTCCCCCTTCATGAGAAGAGAGAAACATGATATTTTTTACAAGACACATGGAATATCCTATTTATTATAGACTTTTTGTGTAAGGGTCTACCCCATAATTAAATTGTTTCATTACAAATGTAAAACCTTGAAACGTAATTTCTCCCTACTTAACACACAGGGACAGTTCACCACCCCTTGTATTTGCGACTTAAAAAGTAGTATGGTGTTTGCAAAATCATAAGCAATATAAACAAGTAAAAGTATCCAAAAATATTTAGGGTCACAAAAATTCTTTATCATACATTTAGATATGATTATATACAAAATCAACTTCAACCAAAAGTATTCTTGAAAACTAGGAGACCTCTGTTGAAGGTGAAAGCATAAACGCTGGTCAAGTTACAAAATTGGCGCATTTCAAAATACAGTCTCGATTGACGAGTTAAATTCGAAATTTACAGTTTACAACGAAACATTTTCATGAGAATAACGACAAGAAGTGATATTAACTCCATAAATGACCATCTGTCATTATTTTGCCTTGTTAATGTGGAACTAATGTGAAAGGGATGTCAACAGTTTGTGTAAAAGTTAGACACTAAGAATAAGGGGAGACAATTTAAGGGGAGCTAACTTGTATGACGTTAGTTCCGTCAAAGTGTTATGTTCACTGCAGTGAAATATCAAGTGTTATGTTCACTATAATGAAAAAAATCACTTTTCTTCACTTCAGAAAACTCAGTCTTTCACACTGACGTATATAATAAACACAGTGTTTATCCTAATACAGGATATTTACCATCCCCAACCACGCAAGCGTGAAAACCTCTTTATCATATAATGTCATTCTTCAAATCTGTGCTCTAAACATCTCTTCCCATGTCTTACAAACATTACCTAAACATAGCAATATATATTATGTCAGAAGGTAAGTGATGTGTCAGTCGGACAGTGACAGTAGCCAATATAGTTCCAACTGAAACCTGCTACTTATACAGTGGCGTAACTACATATGGGCAAAGCCACAATTGCCAACACAAATTGTTTCTACTTGCCTTTCACGGCAATTCATCGGTCTGTTCTGTAGAGTAACTGTTCTTTATCAAAGGGAAAGTTCTCTAACCCTAGTCTATGAGACGTCACATTTGTTTAGAGTCAGCCTGTCCTGCCATAACTTTACAAAGTGCAGTCAGATGTACACACAGCGACAAAATGAAACAAAGTAACAATTTGGACATATTACGGCCAAATCCAACTGTTTTAGTTTGGGGAGAATGTTCCAAGTGGCAGAGGTCTACAAGCAGAGATGGAACCTGATCCCACTAGGCTAGTGTCCTCGATAAATTGTTTCGCAATTTATATCTCCAAAGTTGCCAAAACTTGTAAAATGCCATTCGTGACCAACTTGTGTAATTCCGGGGCATGCCGAATAGCGACTCGTGCCCCTCTCGTGGCCATTTTTGTGACCGGGTTGCGTCTTAGCGCAAACGGGCATACCTAAAACAATTGTCAACTTGTTGCGTAATGGTTCACTCTTTTTCCCCATATATTATATACATTTCAGATGCAATCAGGACGTGCGGAATAAAACAGTATGATTGAACACATTTAACTGTGTCTTGAGTATATTTTTAGATGCAAGACATATGTAAAAACAGAAATTATTTCTGAGGGATTCTTTGACGAAGAACTTGAAATCATACTCTCATTCTGATTGGTTTGTCGTATTTTCGCACATAACATTCATCGATAGAGGGATGAGTCTTCTTGCAAGTTACGGAAAGGGGCGAGTGGTGACGAATGGTAAAATGCCTTAGCTACGTCACAGTTAGACCCTGATTTTCAGTATGTTAGACTGTCCTTTTGATAATGATAGCAATTATCCTGTAGTTTCTCCAGATGCCCGGTGGTCAACATAGTTAGTTCTGACTCAAACGCCGAATGACAAGGGTGACGCCATGTTTGTTTGTATGCACTGAAGGTCCCAACTTGACCTTTGATATCTGCATCTCTATCTGAATATGATAATTAATGTTTAATGTTATAAACTTGCCAAATACATGGGGCGTGCATCTGTGCATATTTATTAAATGACCATGATGAATATCAGTATTTTGGTAAAACAAAAAGTGACATCGTATCCATTCACAAATTCAAGTGTCAATGAATGGCTGACAACAAACTTGGTCCAGTGCAAATCTGAAATTTGATATACTGTATTCGACGTAATAAATGCCCCGTTCTTACAAGCGCTACTGCTATATTTGCTAATATATTGGCTAGTGAAAATCCCTATTAGCACCCTTCCAAATGATCAATGTACACAAGACATATTTGTTCTTGTATAATACGCACTCGTGTGTTATATGCACCCTTAATTATGGGCAATTAAATTATATCTGTTGTGTATAATACGTATCATTTCAGGCTGTCAGCATAAACCACGAAATTTATGATCTTTCAACTCTTTTTTTTCCACCAAAATTATATTCTGATTACAGAGCCCCCAGTTTCTAATTTTGAGAACGTCCTTACATCTTATTACATTCGGTAAAACATCACTGGACATGCTAATTTACTGTTTAAGTTATCATTCTTGTTCTGCTAGGCATTGTTTTATATGCAGCGATTAAGCCTCAATGGCGGTAATTGCACAGTGGTTGATGTAAATAACAGTGGGCAGTGTGATCTGCCGAACACCTCACACATGATTTCTCCTGCAATATTGAATGAAATTTTGAATTAAATGAATCAAATAGATGATTACAAACAAAAGTCCAGACATACAATGAACACTTTTTATAACCAGACAGTGTAATTACAAGATTAAATTGCGTACTTCAGTGCAGATTTATTGACATTGTATTTACGGTATTAAGTGCTCAAGGTGATGTTGGAAAAAAACATCACAACTCATTATGGCGTGTATAAAACACAAAAAAGTGTGCACTATTCTCAAGAAAATGCGGTTAACATTTTGTTGTACTTGTATTTGTTCCATGTGTGAGTGAGTTGGGATTAACGCCGCTTTTAACAGTATTCCAGTTATATCGTGGCGTGTCAGCTTAATGTGGGAGGAAAGTGGTAAACGTCTGAGACCTGCATCACTTGGGGCTTTCCTCCCACATTAAGCTGACACGCTATGGTATAACTGGAATACTGTTAAAAGCAGCGTTAAACCCAACTCACTCACTCACTCATTTTCAGATCGGCAATTTAATGATGTTGCATGGACATGACGCGATGTCATCAATGGTCGTTAGTTTTTCTTTAAAACAATCCATCTTGTGTCGCAATAAATTCAACATTTTGGGTTCATTTTAAAAAATTGTTAATATAAGTATAGAAACAATTGAATAAAGTTTAAAGGTGAGGGGGTTTAACGTCGAGTCCAAGATTATTGTGCTTATATAGCGATGCATGTGTGTGTGTGGCTGCTTGTACTAGTCCAGACTGATGCCGATTTATAGTGCTAGCTCACTGAGATACCATGCCGCAGTTTAACATGGATACCCCACTCAGACACAGTATACTGACTCCGAGCCAACCAGT